ATTAGGGACGGCTAGCGCAGATAGCCCTCGTGTAGCTCTGCGCGAAATTCAAAAACAAACAAACAGTTGGAATTACTGGAGAAATTACTTCCGGAGAAACAGGCATAAGAAGTGCAATACACTGAAAATGGCATTCGTGAAGAAAAATACGTAACCCTAGAGTTAGCAATGCCAAACACTAAAAAGTTCGTTTGAATTTGTTGCCAAAAATTTCGTAGCCCAAGGTCTAATCAGTGCAGAACAGTGTATTCGAATTACTGAACACAAACACCATAAACTTGGCCCAACTAGTTCAAACGAGACTGGGAGCTATTTCCGAAAATTATTTTTGTAACACATTCTCCACAAATTTAGTTTGGCTTCATTTTCTGATAAACTAGCATCTCTGAAACATTTCTAGACACCATGTACAATCAAATTGTGGTAGCATTTTTCTAATAAGACACTAATTACATTATCGGGGTTGGAGAAAATTGTACGCAAAATTTGTCGCTTTGTTTAGGGAGCAAAATTGTATTTAATTTTGTATATCACTTAATGTTATCTCAATAAACATATGATGTATCAAAATAATTGTAAGTGAGCGTAGAACACTAATAGTGTGTGTTGATTTTAATATGATAATATTTATGGACCACAGATTAATAAACATCTCATTTTATCTACCTTATGTGTACCTCCTCTTGTATAGGATTTTATGTTTCACATTTTAAAATATTTTTAAATATTTGTAAGATTAAAAAGGTGAAAAAACAAAGAGTATTTTTATTTTTTAGCTTTTTGAGATTTTTTTCTTCTAAATAATGGGTCATATTCCAATAAATATCAGTTACTGACCGTTTCACTCACTAATAATTTCAGATTAATTTGGTCTATGTTTTATCATTTTTAAATCCCACAAACCTGCTTTGTCACTGCTTTCTTATATAAACGTATTATAACCCCGTTTACAAAAAATATTGTGGTTTTATGGATCTATTATAACTCTTGAGTATAAGAATTGTGTTTGCTAAAAGCATTTTTGCAATACACTGTTTGTCCAATGCTATTACATAGCAGTTTTACTTGAAAAATATGTGAAATAATTAAACCGAGTACAATTATACATGGTTTTTCAAGTTTGAACGTCTTCAAAGAAAATGTTACATTTATCTTAATCAGGTATATCATACCCTCGCCAAAGTACTTTAGGGTATTTTATCGTGTAAACGTTTAGAATGTTAACATATGGAAGGCAGTTAATCTTATGGAATCTTACATTTGGCATATTTTAGTATTCGTAGGCATGCCTCTGCTCAGAAAAGTCATATATTTTGCCGACGACATTCAGATTTATTCAACTTATGAGTCTCAGTAGTCCTTGTGCTGCAGGTCCCTTGTCATTAAAACTAGACGAATTGTGCTGTTTTTCAACTCCCATTCGTTGCCAATAGGAAATGATAAATTTTGAATAACACTAAGTGAATCATGCTAAACAAAAGTCTGATAACTGGCTTTTAGATAGTGCATGTTGGTACGTAATGTCAGATGTGAGGAGTAAACACTCATTCTAGTGTTTCTTCTTGCAAAAATACTATTATCTAACTGTGGAGGGTGTGCTACAGAACCAATTTTGACTAGGCTCAGCTCCAGATCTAAAACAGTCAGAAGTAACATTTTAACTCCTGAACAACTATCTCATTGACTTAGGTCTAAGCAAGTGCAAATTTCAATGGTTTACGTCTATTTTACTAATTTTATACATCTTTAGAGCTTGTTGTTATACTAGGCAGCATTAGTGGCTTGTTAAATTGTTCAAATTAATTATGGTCATGGAAATTTATTCTTATTGCATCATTTACACAGGAAGTACTTTCTTAATTCAACATTTGAAATTTTCTCCAGTTCAGATAAATATTCTAGGTGTTGTGATCCTTTGTACATGTTCTTAAATTAAAGGTGAATTGTATTACCCTTTCTAAATTTCAGTATGACTTGCATATTTAATAGGAACTATTTGTAAAATGGCCTAATAAACTTTGAACTCTCGCTGACAAAGAATCTCGTTACACTGCCATACTTAAATCTCTTTTTAGTTTCTTAATTAATAAATTGCATCATAAACTCTTTCAAGGTTATTGGGATTATGCTCAAAATATTGCTAACATCGAGGATGCTCAATTGATGAATCGTTGCCTTCTAATTATTGTAAAGTTTTTGTTCTGTGATATTACATACTCCTTATTGGACTAATTAATAAGATTAACTATATCAGTTACTGGGTGTATTTTGAGTTCTGATCTTTGTAGGTAGTTTGCTTTGATCACAAGTTAATGATGATTATAAAGACATATTTCTTACTTTACTCAGCCAAATCCAACTTACTTAATTTAAAAACAATATTTGATTATTAATTTTTGACAAATCTTTCATTTTCACTTTACAGTTAATATTGGATAGATTGTAACATTAAAGTTAAATTAACAGAATATAATACTAATACAACGTGATTATGCTGAATCAATTAACTTGCTAAATGTTACAGTTTTTAATTTTTTCGTCCAAAATTATATGTTTTAGGCATTTTTTTAATCTTACATTGAACATGTGATAGTTGTTAGGTTTATAAGTTATAACTTAAAAGTACAAATGTTGAAAATAAATATTTCTCATTATTTGTTATGCCCCTCTCCTCCGGTGACTTGGCGGCAAGTCTGAGGACTTGCAATCCTAAAAATTAGGTTTCAGTACCTGCAGTGGGCAAAACATAGATATTCCATTATGTATCTCTGCGCTTAACAAACAAACCCCAAATAGCATGAGTTGAAAATTCTAAAAATGGATTGCATTGTATATATTACTTAGTTTTAGTATAGCTTTATCTTACTATTCACTAACTTCCCATTCATTAAACAACAAAATCTGATCCGTTTTAGGAATTCTGTCCGGCGATACATCTACGATAACCAAGGGCTTATAAGGAGAATGTACGGAGACCAACGCCATAGTTTCATACTTCAGGAAGAAATAGGAACTCAGCGGTTGCGATATATCAACCTTCCACCCTCCCCAAATTTTCGAAATCCTAAAGCTGCTCATATGAGGTCAAACTCACGGCAGCAGACGTTCCCTCAAACTGTAAGTTTATTTCCAACGGATTTGGATCGTAAGGATTCGACTTCAAAGACCGCAAGTCCTGAAACGACTCCTCCAGAACACCCAACTTCCACAGCCATCAATTTAGAAGAAGATGTTAATAAAACTGAAATACCAACTACTTCAAGCATAACGACGAGATTTTCTGAAACCAATAGAAGTGTTACGTCATCAGCAAATGCTTCAGAAGCAATGTCCTTCCTCGAAACAACTGTGAATAGCTTGGACCTAAATGAAACAACTGTGAATAGCTTGGACATAAATGAAACAACTGTGAATAGCTTGGACCTAAATGAAACAACTGTGAATAGCTTGGACATAAATGAAACAACTGTGAATAGCTTAGACATAAATGAAACAACTGTGAATAGCTTGGACATAAATGAAACAACTGTCTCTCCAACGGAAATAGAAGGAGATGAAGACTTGCTTCCTCAAGTTTTCACCTATGCTACAGCCACAACCTCGACTTCTTTAGAAATTACAGTGACCGACACAATAGCATCAACTTCAGAAACTACTGTCGATAGTAAACCCTACACCAAGACTACAAAGGAGGATGACTTCACAATCCAGCCAGTCTATTACGAAGATACGAGTGAACTGGAAGGAATGATAAACATCATCAACTCCAATCATTTGAACGCACAAACAGATGAAGACGAGGAACGGGTTAGCTCTCCCAACAGAGTTGGTGTGTGAGTATTAACAAGGATGTGGTTGGCTTTAATAAAACATATTACTTCTGTGCTATTAAGTAGTGCATTAAAATGTAGAAGTGTTTATTATAACAACCCGTGGGCTTATGACCCACATTTACAGAGCTGCTATAATGCAAGTTGAATGCATCAAAATGTGGAAGTGAATATGGTTAATTTTACTAGAACAACATTACTTCAGTACTATTAAGTAGTACATTAAGATGTGGAAGTGAATATGGTTAATTTTACCAGAACAACATTACTTCAATACTATTAAGTAGTACATTAAGATGTGGAAGTGAATATGGTTAATTTTACTAGAACAACATTACTTCAGTACTATTAAGTAGTACATTAAGATGTGGAAGTGAATATGGTTAATTTTATCAGAACAACATTACTTCAATACTATTAAGTAGTGCATTAAGATGTGGACGTGAATATGGTTAATTTTACCAGAACAACATTACTTCAATACTATTAAGTAGTACATTAAGATGTGGAAGTGAATTTGGTTAATTTTACTAGAACAACATTACTTCAATACTATTAAGTAGTACATTAAGATGTGGAAGTGAATATGGTTAATTTTACCAGAACAACATTACTTCAATACTATTAACTAGTACATTAAGATGTGGAAGTGAATATGGTTAATTTTGTATACCCGTATGTCGTGCATAAGAATGTGGAAGTGTATGTGGATATTTTTACTGAAACATTATTAAGTGTATCCTATTGGGTGGTGCATGTGAATGTGAAAGTATTTATTATTTCTTTGTATTTTATATTCGAAAACCATATAAACAATCCAATAAGTTCATAATTTTGTGGCGTAATATTTTATTCAAATACAATTTTTTCTCACTAATACCATTGACAGACTCAAAGTGACGTAACAGTAGTATCGACTTCAGAAACTACTGTCGATATTAAACCCTATACCAGACTACACAGCTTTACTGCAGTGACACATAACTTCTGGTTTTTGTGAAATTGTGTGGTATATAATGTAAGTTGCGATAATAACTTGGTTCTTGTGGATTATGTTAGTACATATCATGAACAATATGTGGTTATTTACGTTGTATGATTTCAATATTACTTTTATGTCGACATTTTATCACGTCTTTGTCCTTAAGTGTATTTCCTAACCCCAAAACTTTCCACCCAGTTGTCCTAATTTTGCTGTAGATATCTTAGTCTTGAAATCCGGGACAGAAATACATCTTCCTCGTCTGTTATTTCTAGGAATGCGTGCTTGGTAACAGAAGAAGTCGTTGCACCATACTGGGCCAACAATACCCGTGGTGAAACACTTGCTCTACTTAATGTTTATCCATTTGAACAGTACGTTCACTGGGAAAAATGTGTGTAAGTTTTTGCTTTTTATTTCTTTTTATAAAATCATGCCGCGATTCTTTACATAATTGGGTAAATGTAAATATAGAAAACTGCTATTTGAAAGATTTATCCACTTTCCGTTAACAAAGAGATTTATATCTTAACCGTGTGTCTAAAATGTGTGACTCAACGTGCTTCATATATACATGTATATATATTTGTCTTTTCAACATTTCACGTCTTAAAACGACTTTTGGCAAATAGTGCTGTAATTTTCATTCTTGTATTAATTTCTGCTGTTTACATCAGAAATTGTGTGTCATAATCACTTATTAAAACAACAAAGTTATGGAAATTATATAAGTATGCATAACTTATTTATTTCCAGAATCAGATAATTTCGTAACAAACAACCTATACCAATCCTACCATGCCAGGACGTCATTCATTAAATGTCACACGCATGGATTTATTAACGCTTCAAAAAGAAAGATAAAAATTCTATCCAATTAGTTGTAGTTTGCGACCACGTTTTGCGGATATTGCATCAATAGATAATCGGTTCTTTCTTCCATCTTAATAAAAGAAAAAATATATATGTAATTGTACAAAAACAGCAACCTGTTTTATTCAAAATGTTTAAAAAGTGCATTACCTAGTTATTTGTTGGACTCAAAAGTTTATAGCCTTTTACGTCATTGTAGAACGCTATAGCAAAATTGATTCACTTGTAGTTTTTGTTCTTTTATGTAAAATAAAAGAATTTAATTTCTTATTATTCTAATAGATATGAAAATCGCCAGATGCACTGCAGAGATGGCTGTCGTTGCGAACAGCAGTATCGACTTCATCGCCTTCTGGCCTTTGACCCAAAGAATGAGTGTCGAGGGATCTTTGCCGATTGGTTCCGGTTTCCTTCTTCGTGTGTGTGTATTTGCTACGATATTCCTATGGACATTTCTAAACGTCCTGCAAGGACTGGTCGACGGATCTAAAGCTAACCAAGGTTCAAATGGAACAATAGCAATGATAAATAAGAATTTCAGACTTCAGGGAAATTCAGTTTGTTTAGTCGAACTGAACTAGTTTTGAAATACGCTGGAAGAAATCTGTGATTAACTGGTTGTTCGAGTAGCGTTATAACTAATGATGTATTCTAGTAAGGTGCTGTTAACTTCCATAATGTTACTGGACACCTTAATCCTGGAAACTGACATGCCCTGGTGAGATTTCTCATTCTTTTACAACATCGTTATAGAAAATGTTCGTTTCTTTAATTATTCTTAGACAATCTTGGTTTTTCCTTCATGAATTTTTATGGAAATCGTGAAACATCCCACATTTGATGCCAAGCTGAAGATGATTGCTATTGAAAAATCGCAAAGTGATTACGTGATTTTTTTTTACTAAGTTGCGTAACGAAAGTATTTTATACTTTCTTTTATTATGGGAATGAAATGTTTCCCTGTTCGGTTTGGTAGTTCTTTTCCATTTCCCTATATGCCCTGAAAGTTGTTTTTGTTTGTTTGTTTTTGAGAATGTACAATTTTTAGATATAAAGTGAAATGAAACAATTACAGACCACTTATTGGTTGTGTACAGCTGTGACGTTTAACCTGAGTTTTCTGATAACATGCAGTAGTTTCTATATCGTAATGGAAGCTAAACCCAACACTTTATACATAAAATTATTTGGCTCAAACAATTTGCGTCTCTGATGAGTTCTACAAGTACGTTCAAAGGTACATAAACAAAAACGACTATCAGTACACTGCGAAACTGTGCCGAAGTGGAGAAATCCTTTGGATACACGTTCAATATTTTTTGCACACAAAATACTATAGGGAAGATGACAGAATCCATTCGACATCTTGAAGAGGAAGAAACATCGCTTGTGAAACATTCGGCTCTTTATTGATCTTTACCAAACCAAGTACGAGGACACACAAAGCAAAAAATGGAAAATTCTCATAAAACGAATAAACAAATATTGCGGCTTAAAACTAACTTTAAAAGACTAAGAGTTTTTTTATGGAATGACTAGTTTCCTGTATGGAATATTTTTCAAAACTCGGGGAATCAGTTGTTAAATGGCATACAATGCCTGAATTAAGTATTAGTTTACTTTAAACTTGTTATATCAAATGCACCGTTGCGATTGCTCTTGAACAAAAAATGCCACTTAGTGGCCTATTTGGTATTTTCCAAAGTTAATAAGTTGTTTATTTGTTACTATTAGATAATAGAACTTTCACAACCACATAAAACGAAAACAGCAAAAATGTATACATTAAGTTGTTAAGTGAAAGAAAGATGCTTAAAAGTTAAATTTCGTAGTAGGTTTGTCTGTACTTACTCACCGAGAACAATTCTCAAAACAAGATTTTGTAATAAACTGTCTTAATATTTAAGTAGAGCACAATATGAATCTAAAATAAATATTTTCAGGAAACTCCACCACCCCCTAAAAAAAATTAAAATATCGATTCAGTCCGGGAATCTATTCATCTCTTACAATGTATTATTTCCTTTACAATTATGTAATATAATATTTTATTTTTAGAAAAGTAATTAAACAGTTTCAATGTGGCGCCATCTATCGTTTTTCGCGTATTCATTAAGTGTAATATTGAATACATGTTTTGACACTATTTTAATTTATTATGTCAATGAAAACGAGGAACAACAACTGACAAACTTTTTTTTAAAATAATGGATACATTTGTCGAAAAGCTCGTAGTAAGTTGAAAGAATTTAAGATTCTTTATATATCAAGAACTATAGTTTTTATTTACATAAAGATGATATTTGTATAAAGAAAATACACAAGTTATATTCCAATAGTTTAAGCAAGAGTATTTTAAAGGGTTCAGATATTTTCGAAAAAATATTATACTGAAATGTAGAATAATCTCGTTCAATATTTTCATTCTCTGCAATATAGGAGTGAAGCTAGCTGCAAGAAAATACATTAGAAATATTAGGGATATGAATTAATTTCGAAGAAGTGCGACCAGAAGGAAAATAAACTTACTTTATTTTATTTCATCCAAAAAATGATCGGTTCGAACGCTAGTTATGGCTAATCATAATTTACATTTATAACTAAAGAGGGCAGCACGTATACTTTAGAGCACATGTGTCGAACCCAATCGGAATGTTGCTCAGGGTTTTCCGTAGTTCCTGGTAAAAACATCAGGATGTAGTAGTAGAAACATCGATACGATTAACTTTGGTGAAATCTATTTAGTAACGTGCAGAAAAAAAAATCCATTAAACTTTGTAATGTTACATTTTTCACCAGTTTCAATAAAAGTTTTGTACTTTAATCATGTTTCACCTATTAAAATATTTTATGAAACAACCAATGATTTCAACCTTTTTACGAAAGTACTTCCCATCCCAAAAGTAAGAAATCTTGTGGCAGTAGTGCGCATGACTTATGTGAGGCAATAGACCTAATTCTATCTATCTTGTCTTATCCTTTTCGCAAATTACGAGTGTTAACGACTATATTTCAGACAATATTACCGCCTTTTGTAATTATAGTAATTAAGCATTGTGTATTTCGTTTATTGAAGGTAGTTTTATCAATATACTTGTATTAATTCAAAAATTTCATACAGTAGCTTTATCTTCAGTCTTTTACTTTCAATTGCCATTATATTATTGTTAGCCAACTAGATAAGACTCAAAATTGATATTATTCATATAGTCAAAAGTAGTCCACACATGTTTCCTAATTACATTAGAAGGGTTTTAACAGGTATGACGGAAAAGCCAAAGCGGTGTTCCGATTGGCGAAGAACGTTGGACCCAGCACGTCATCTTACGAAGCGGTACAAAATGACAACCGAGTGTTGAGGAGAAATCTGCAAAGTATGTTAGCGCTAATCAAACACCATTCGAAAACACACAGAGAGAATTGCACAAAGTATTCACCGTTTATCTACAAAAAATAAAATAATAATAATAATAAACTGGAAGGTGACTTAGGACTACTTCCACCCATAAATTTTTAAGCACGACACAAGATTTGCAGATTTCAGAAATTATGTGTCTAAATTAGTGCCTGGCCAGAATTTTGTAACTGAACATTTTAAACGTTGCTATCAAATCGCACAAGTATATCAATAATAACAAAGGACGGAGAAAAAGAACCAGAAGCAAAAAGTTGCATAAAATAACGAGATAAACTACAATTTCAAAAATATCACAAATAATGATCAAACCAGTATTATTATTTATGATTTTAACTTAGCATTTGTTTGGCACAATTATATATGAATCTAGTATCCGTAGCCACCACTGCTAGAGAAATGTGTATGTTTGTTAATATAAAAATTACTAACTTAATATATAATACAAGGAAGGTTAGCTAGCTTTTATAAGATAAATATAACTGAACTAAACGATAGAAGGAAGAAGTACATGAATGATAAATATATGAATTATAAAAATAGAAAACGCCACCTCACAAGTTTCTATCTGGGCGTGTTTTGTTTTTATATTTTCAAGAAACCCATCTGATCGATTTTTAGAATCTTGTATTAAATATATTAGTGGAATACATCTTTATCGGTGTCTGATGTTTCAATGAAGATACCAAATGATCAACTAGACACCACTGTGAATAAATAGGCTGAGCTGTTAGATTCAATACATCAGACAAAAGAGAAATACAGGTAGAGATTAGCGTTGGACGTTTCCTAGATAAGTTATATGATTACGCTGTAGCTATATCAGCCAAAAGTTTGAACAGTTGAAGCTACAGAAAGATGCTAAAGATGCAATTATATGTATGGTGTTTTTAGTTTTAATATTCATGCAATGTCACATATCAAATAAGACAGTTTTGAGTTAGATCGTACATTAACATTTAAAAAGATAGTTTGCTTTAATTTTTTTTATTTCATCTTTTAAATCATGTGTTCATTACTGTACTTGGTTATACTAAGAAATTATAGTTGATAAAATGACCCGATCTTATTTTAATAAAATATTTTTCTATTTTCAAAATATTACAGAGGGCGCCTAACATGGTTAATGTTTTGAACTGTACAAATATGTGAGCTAATAATAACATTTATCTCTTTGTGTTCCTGTATATTAAACAATTTAGTAATTTATTTCGTACGTTTCTTGTACTCGTAAGGTAATTTATAAATATATTACATTCAACTTCAAAAGCTTAATGTCTGACTTCACTGAAAATGAAATCCATAACTTAAGTTAGGCGTGACTTATAATTTATAACTATAATTTTTAGATTTGGCATTGTATACACTACAGACTACAGTATGATTCTATTGGTATTTTTTCTACCTTAATAGTATTAAATTTAACTTAATCCTAAGTTGGTGTTTTTATTTAATTTTATCTATATATTATCTTTTTTTTTTTTTTTTACAGAAAGTGTCATTTAGGAATGAGTAGTCATTACAACATAATTAGATTTGTTTGATACATGTTGAGGTTTTAAAAAATCACATTTTAATAAAGCTGGGTAACTAGTGGTATTTGATAATTGATTAGTTATTGGGCTCATTAATTACAATTAACTTACTGATTAATCTTACATGAGATTTGGATAGTTGGAAAATCAGAAACTAATTTTTTATCAGTTGATTATTTTCAGGGCAAGGTTTTTATTAAATATTATGAATGGCTGAGCTTTTAAATTTTCTCTCTCTTGTGAAAAAAGAAGGATGTTAGCAATATTGCTGACCCCAAGCACTCTGTGGGAAATATTGGAATTGATCTAAATCAACAAGATATTAATTCTGTGATTTCTGCCCAGTACTCTGATTGTTAAAGTGATCAAATTTAAACAAATGCATACAGTAGAAGTTACTAGGACTCTCTTTGGCACGTGCAAGCTAAACCTGATCAATGCATAGAGATTTCTTTGGAACCCAAAATGAAGGTTACACGAAGTTCAACAGCAATTAGCAGATTGTTTAAAATTGAGAAATTAAATACTAAATAATTAAAGCCTTCTGAATTTACAATTTACACCTTACTGGGGTTGTCAATATGCATTTTATGGTAAACTGTTATCTAAGATCTACCTTGGTGATTTGAAAGCTAATTTATATCAGCACTTAAACTTCAACAGAAAATCTTTCTTAAGATATATCAATAAGTTTTACAGTTTCCTAGATTTTTACATGTTTTAACTCTCTGAAGGACTAGTTAAGGATGTAAGTTTTGCTAATGAATTTATTCATAAAATCACCAAAAAGATGTGTAAATAGCCTTATTATACTTCTAATGACATCACTAATCTTCATGACATGTTTAAACATAAGTTTATATTTAAAAAAAAATCAAAGAGTTAAATTTACCTGTAACTAATGCTCTGCTTGTAACTGGCAGCATTCAAAAATTAAATCTTGCTGTGGAGTACATTATAAAAAGGAAAATGTATAAGAGTTTATGCATGTTACCAAACTTTAAATGACTTGAAGAAATAGGACTAGGACTACAGTAAGAGTGAATCTTCTTTCATCTTAAAATTGAGATAACTTATCCTTCCAACTAGAACAAGTCTGTACATAGGGAGAAACTTTGAAAAGCAATGTCACGGTAAAGGTGCTATAAGAATAAAGTCCTTGTCACACATGATTAATCAATGCAAAGTGCCATCTGACCTTTTGAAGATTAGAAGATTTACAGAAATTATTAATGAACTAAGAATATATGATTCTGGAATGGGTGTACAGGACTAGGTTGTTCTTTGTCTGCAATGTGATGATGTTATGCAAAATAAATGCTTTAGCACTAAGATCAGACAGTGTTTTTCCCATAGTTTTAAAGGAAGGTAAAGGTCAGAAATGCAAGCCTCTCTTTAATTTTTGGTAGGTTAATAAAAAATGCAGGTGTCTGAAGACTTAGAGTTGTCAATGGTACTTCTGTTTTTAAAAAAGGTGATAAGAGTTGCCCTAGAAATTATAAGCTAGTTAATCTTATATCCATAGTGAAAAAATTCTAGAATTTGATAAGTTTTGCTAAATTATTTAGCGAATAATGATACCATAAAAGAGAGTCAACTAAATTTACTAAAGGGAAATCTTGTCACACAAATCAATGAACTATTTTTAAGGTTATTTTATTTGTAATTGGGATAATAGAAAGGGTGTAGACTTAGCATGTGTAAATTTTCAAAAAGCTTTTGATAAGCTGTTACATAACAAATTAGCTAAGAAAAATCTCAACTGTGGTGGTTAGCAAAAGACTAGTTAATTGAACTGAAGGATAAGAAAAAGCAATATGTTATTATTAACTTTTTTTTTATTGTGAACTCAAGTCTGTTATTGGACATTGCTATTGATGTAAATAAAATAATGATGTATATCTCCAGAATGTACCTTTAATGACTCAATATTTCACTATTACTATTACAGCTTTGTCAGTAACCTACAAGGTCACTCATCCAATTGAAAATTGATATGGACAAATTAAGAGGAATATGGAAAAAACACATCTGCTGTTTCTTGATTTTTATCACAAAATTTAGGCCTTTTGTGGATTGTAGCATGACATTTTTTGGTCTTGGAAATTATAATGTGCATGGTCATGAAAAGTGCTTGAAAATTCTAGATTTCACTTGAAAAAAAAGTGTATGAATCCTGCAAGTATAAGTAACATAATCCCCAGTGCTTTATGGTATAATCAAAACATTTAAAGGGATTTTAGTGCCTTTCAAATACTAAACCACCTTTAAAAAGTAAATGATTAAAATGGTTCATATTTTACCAATTTTTGCAGAAAAGTCATCCTGCATAAAGACTTTTTTTTCAAAACACATTGATAAAGCTGACCTTAGGCCAATGCCAAATTGAATATATTGAAAATAATTATTAACTCAGTAAGTAATGTGAACCAGTG